CTCTCCTGTCCTTGTCCTGTCCCCAGACTCTCACTGCCTGTGGGGCCTCTGGACTCTACAGACAGGACAGGCCCAGAGTTAGCGGTCAGGGGGAGAGTGGACACTGTCCAGCTCACTCTCCTGTCCTTGTGTCCCCAGACTCTCACTCCCTGTGGTACTTCCTGACTCTCACAACCGGACCGAGCCAGTTCCCGGAGTTCATGGTTGTAGGGATGGTGGACGATGTCCAGGTGGAATACTACGACAGCGACATCGGGAAGATGATCTCTCGACGACACTGGTGCCCGGACGCTGAGGTCAAGGAAGCAGACAACAAGGAGTTTGCAGTGAAGGATTTTTACTTCGGCATGAGAGACAAGCTGCAGGTCCTGATGTCTCACCTGAACCACACAGGAGGTGAGTGTATTACCCTCACGAGACTGAAATCTCCCTCCCTCCCTCCACACAGGATCTGAAGGAGCACCTGGGGCTCATCTGACATTTCTCTTTCCTTCTGCTCAGATGAGACTGCACCAAAGGACAATTTCTACTGTAAAAAATTAACACCACCAGAATCCCTCAGGAATCACATAGGATCTACAGACTTTAAACTTCTCTTCACCTCTCTCGGTCCAGACTAAAACCTGGTCTTGCTGATCTGAGGGCTGGACTGGACTGGACTGGCTGCTCAGAGGTCCTGACCCTGGATCTCACAGTCCTGGTGTTTGCTCCAGCCCAGCTCTCAGTTACTCAGTCAGACCCTTAACTGACTGAACTACAGGACCAATCTGAGCTGTGCAGCTGTCTTCAGCCCTTAAAAGTGCTTTAACAACCATATTTATCACTCAGACCTAGTAGAAAGTAAATGTGCAGATCTTGCAGTCAAGTAGCTTGTTGGGTCAGTTAGGGCTTTGATGGATCAATTAAGCAATCTGGGTGTTGCAGGACACCGGACCTACCAGGTGATCGCTGGCTGTGAGCTGGACGATGACGGTTCGGCCCGGTTCGGTCGCTGGGACGCCTACAATGGCCAGGATGCGATGAACTACAACATGATGAGCTACGGCTACACCGTTCTCATCCCAGGTGTAGTGATGGACAAGGCACGGCTGCAAGTAACTAAATTCATGATGGATACATTCTACCAGCCCCTGTGTGTGAGGGTCCTGAAGAGCTACCTGCAGCAGGAGAGGAGCAGACTGATGAGGAGAGGTCAGCCTCTTGAGTTTTTGTGTTTGTCTCCTCTACAGGTGTCCTAAAACGTTCAGACTTGACATTCACTTTATAGCCCTCAGCCAGCGTCAGTCTACTGTCCCAGCGCAGTCAGCCTCTGATCGATTGATGATGTTCCTATGCTGCAGACAGCAAAGTGGACCAGATACACTCTTTACTGCCCGGCACGGCTGTGGTCACACCCAGCAGTCAGCGGGATCAGGGCGTTAATGATGTGTAAGGGATGTGAGGTGTTTCTGTAGGCTAGACACAGCCAGGAAATTCAGAATGTTGTAGCTCAGCATCTAGGTCTGAAACATAACCAGTAACAGATACAGTGTAGCAAGAGCAGGAGTCATATGATGGCAAAACTAGTAGGTTGTCACATTGAAGTGTGACACCTGCAGGTGGGATTGATCTCCTGCCTGATGTTGTTGTCACGCCAGCGGCCTGAGTGATGGGTCTGTCACTGGGTGTGGTGTTTCTGTTGTGGTTACCCATACTACAGCATGAGCAGGCTTGATGTGACACAAGCAAGGCATTGCAGTCGGCACTGCCTGCTGGCATAAAAGATTGACTTTCTACACAAACGAACTCTCTAATCCCCCACACTGCAGTCAAGCCCAGGGTCCGGGTCTTCCAGAAGACATCCGCCCTCTCTGGGGGGACGGAGGTGACCTGCCTGGCCACCGGCTTCT